TAAACAAATTCTTGTAATAATGCGCAAATAAATGTATTTTTCTTACTAACTAATTTTACAGTTTATTTTTTCCGTTTTTACAAAATGTAGGTTAGTCCATTATTGCAGCAAGTTCTTCAATTAAATATCACTCTAAAACAAAAGTAATCAAAATTCCGTGAAAAGCTAACGGAAATTATAATAACTCGTTAGTTTTTAGTAATGCTAACAACTTACTTTTTTAAAGGCTGGATTGTTCCACCTTTGGTAAACTTCAGCTTATTTACTCTCTTATGCTCTTTTACTCTTTTGTTTATTCAATAGATAAATTATCAGTTTATCCAAAGATGAAACAACTAATCCTAAATCAATAACGAGCAACGATAACGAATTTATTATCTTCATAAAATACCTTTTTTCCTAACTCTGTTTTAGTTTAAGTATATAAAAAAATATATTTTAATGATATAAATTTAAATTCTTATTATTATTAAATTCTTATTATTATTATTATTATTAAAAACAATATTACAAAAACAATAAGCAACTAAGAGCTAATATATAGTTATTATTAATTGTACGTTACAATTCTTTTTTATTTTTTATCTGTACGAATATTTCCGACGTTTCGGCTGCTTTTTTTCCAAATTTCCATGCAAATCCAAAATTTAAATGCAATCTGAATGTAGGCGCAATTAGTCAACCCAGAGTAATTATCGATTTGATCATGTGAAGTCTTCTTAATAAGATTTACATTCAGAATAATTGCATTAAAATTTTGGATTATTAAGCCTAATGTTATACTATGAAAAAAGCAGCCGAAACGTTGGAAATATAAATATGTACAAGTGAAGAATAAAAAAGAATTGTAACATTAATAATTAATTGTGTATTAGTTTTTAATTACCTATTGTTTTTATAATGTTGTTTTTTTGTTTGTTGTTTTTATTATTGAGAACTCAATTAATTTATTCTGTGAATTAGTTTTATTTAATTGATTTTAGTTTAGAGTTAAGTTAGAATTAATTTTTGTTTAAGAATTATAGTCTAATATTTGACAAGATATAAATTAAAGTAATTTTTAAGTTGTTTAAAAAATAGTACATGCAATGACTTCTTTGTTAAAACAAAGCATTCAGATGTTTTCTTTGTCATCTATCGGTAAGATATTTGATAGGTTCCTCTATAATCAGTTACAATGTGAAATGACGCAACAACATATCGTGCCGTAGTATTACGAGGCAATAAGAAGACACAGTCGGAAGTTATTATTGTCTCTTGGATATACATTCTGTCGTATATCCAGGATTTATATTCGTTCGTAATCTAAATTTCATGGAGATTCATCTCGTGTCTCACGAGATAGGCTCTTTCGTGTGCGACACGTATATTTCAGATCCTCGTATATTTCACACGAGTTCCAATCATCCACCCCTTCACGCATGTAATCCCATAACAAGATCTTTAATGTATGTAAAAGAAAATTATGAATTTGTCGAATAATATGGAATGACATATAAGATGATATTTTATAATATGATGTATTATAAAATATAATATTTCCAAGATATATCTAAGCTATAATATATCTAAGCTATAATATAATAATAAATACAATAATTTAATTATATCGGAGATGAGTAATTTCATTTATTTATGAGGGTTTATTATAATCTTTAAAAGGAAAGTTTATTTTTTAAATCTTACAGCTTTTCTTTAAGTGAAATTCATTATTTTATAGTATCTCTTGTTTTAAAATATACATTGTTTCAGCGCCACTATAATGGCATTTCCGTTCTATAAAGGTTAATACCTATGTATAAATATAAAAAGCATCTAATAGTGCATAGTCTCAGACGTTGATAATTCAGATGGTGCATTGGCTATTTGGTTATCTGGTTGGCTATTTGGGTCTGATTGCAAGCAATAAATATAATGTCACGCCGCTAATACGTATGGAGCAAGCATTCCTTATCGTCATTAAAGTCATGAAGTTATGGGATCCGACTAAGCATCATTCCCTTGATGATGGACGTTAGTCGGATATTTGACGCATTCGATACGAGTCTCAGTGACCATTCACAACGTACGACGATGATTTATCGCATGCCATGAGTTGCGATGGTCTTGGAGGAATGTCGTGGAAAGCTCTTCACGACGCAACGCGACACGATCTTACTGTCACTTCCATCGAGTAATATTTGGACCGTGACAAAAGAATTGTCGCGGCGGATGTTTTACTTGCGAGAAATGTTTAGACTTTAAATTATAATATAACTGGAATAAAAATATCTGGGTAAAAAAGCATAAAGTTGTAAAAATATGTAACGACTTACAAGAGTCTCTCTTCGTATGAATAAATTTTATTTACGACAACAATAAGTTCCTTGTTCATGCATTTTTTAATAATGAGTATCTTATTATCATATTGCAATCGTAAATTAAAGTTAGATATAATATTTGTATATATTTATATATAAAAGAGATTAAAAAAAAATTGCACCAGCTATTATAAGATAATATCGTTTTCTTATTTCAAAAGTGACATAACTAAGAAACGCAATTTTTGAATTGTTATTATAAGTTAGGTAAATGTTAGAAGTAAGCTATTTTAATTTAACTTTCTAAAAAATCAAAACGTTATTACAATTAAAAATATCAATTTAATTCGCAATTACTAGAGTAATTTTAATTGTGTTTATAGTCCAGAAACATTCGGCGCGCAGTTTTAAAAAGACTACATAGTATACAATATGATATATATGCAAGTAAATATATAATACATATATTAGCAATTCAAGATTGAATTATTTAAACCAATGAAGACTTCGACCGTAATAAGCATTTTTTTAGTATTTATTGATTGTATTTCTCACATATGCGATCTGAAATAAAGATTCTTAATATTGTTTCAAAAAGGTAATTTTAAAAAATCATTAAAATCATCACAACTTAAAAAAAATGTTTTTTTAAAGGTTGTAAAACAAAAATGATAAAAATATCATATATTAAGAATGTTTTTTTTTGCTAATATTATTTGATTTTTCAATAATTTTCTGTCATGTTAAAAAATAGCTTTTCCTTTTTTAGAAAATTTAATTCTTTTAGTTATGTCACTTTTGAGATAAGGCAGCGATATAGTTTTATCTCTCTCTCTCCGCCCTCTCTCTCCCTAACTTGGGATAACAGAATAGTTCAAACTTAATTTCTCTAGTTCATTTATTAATTAATTTCTTGATTAGCCCTTAAATATCTTTTCGATATGGCATACTGAGTTTCCTTTTCCAATGCTTTTCTAATGTTTTTCTATTGTTTATAACTTTTTTATTAATAAAAACGTATACATTATTGTGCTCGTTAATATTTGTTTTTTCAATTAAAAAATAATTTATATGGCTACACCACAATGTATTGTTGTACCTCTACAATATGAAATATTGCAACAATATTTCCAATAATTTTGAAATATTGTAATTTTAATATTTTGTAAGAAATATTGCAATATATTGCTGCAATATAATTCAACAGGTAAGTGTGCGGTCTCACCACGAGATAGATGCGCTTCTCCAAGAAAAAAACGTCCAATAGCGAAAGTTTTTAATGTCTTATCAACGATTATCTTATCAATAATGTAAATATATAACGATAGTTAATGGCAAGGATGATACTGGAGATTTTCATTGACTGTCGTTAATTAATGATAG